GCAAAGAGATTGTTCTTTCTGGAAATAAGCGGCCCCTGGATCAACCAGTTAAAATGTCCATTGGCTGGACCTCAAGATCTAGTCTCCACCCCGCAAACAGCTTTCCGAGGGGCTTTAGCGAATTAATTCTCTCTTGAGCAGAGGTTTCCTGCCTGTGCGATGAGAGGGTAGGCCAGAGCAATGGGAGAAATATTTAGGTCGCGAAGTCCTGTGAAAGCTTACTTCTTGCTAGGCTCTTCAGCAGCCAAGCGATGTTTACTTAGCCATCGTCTGGCCTCTTGTGAAGACCTTGAGGCCATGACGTGGGGCCTGACAATAGTGTATACTGTGACTGAATCATTTGGAGCGGCCTTGTCACTCGTTTTCAGTCCACGGTGGCTGAGCTAGTGTAGCAAGATCTGGCCTGCAGGGGGCGCTGCGGGTTCGCCCAACTGATTAAACTAGACAAGTCCCCTGATTGCCCGAAAGGACCCAGAGAAGGTTAGCTTTCCTATTTTATTACGAAGGACGAGCTTTTCCACACTTGAAGTTTTCTATCCAAAATGTGCAGTCGAGGGAAGTGACGTCATCCAGAAAACACTAGTTCTCTGCACAGTGACGGGAGAGAGGGCTCTTTTTGAAATTCCTTGTAGATAAGAAAACAGATTCTAGTCGAGTGGTGGGGGCCCACGCCTTTAATCCCCGCATTCTGAAGGCAGGCAGATGGATGTCTGAGTTCCAGGCCAGCCTGGTCTACAGCGCCAGTTCCAGGACAGCCACGGCTACACAACGAAACCCTGTCTCAAAAAAAAAAAAAAAAAGAAAGGAAGAAAGGAAGGAAGGAAGGAAGGAAGGAAGGAAGGAAGGAAGGAAGGAAGGAAGGAAGGAAGGAAACAGATTCTAAGAGTTGAGAAAGGAACAGGTTCAGTTTGGTGACTAAAGATAAAAACAAGCATCTGAGTTACTGGACTCCTCAAAAAACGCTGTTAGGATTGTTGACTCTGTTTCTGAGTCTGTGACAACTCTGAGGGACTAGGTCAGCGTGGGTTGTGGTTTTGTCAGCCCAGGACCTTGTTCAGCACCTCACACGCACGATACCTGCTTCCTGAGTGATGAATGAATATGTGTGAGTTGGTTTTTGGCGAGTGTGTGGACTGTCTCCTCTGGCTTTATCAAACCAATTGGAGCGAGGCTTCTTTCCTAGAAGATTTCCCTGGGCAGAAACTATGTTCTGCAGTTGGGGACTGAAGCCGGAAAACAATAAGAGATTAAAAAAAAAAAGGACACAAGGAGTGATAAATCATAGCCCCTAGAATGGTCATAATATAAGGCCATTATAATAAAGTAATCCAAGAATTTGATGCCACAAAATTAAATCATAAAAAAAATAGATGAGAGTCCCATTAGGTTCATAATCTGAGAGGATCCGAGGCTGAAGAAGTCTCAGAAACATTTCAGATCTGATGTAGACATGTCTTCAGGACTGCAATACGATTGAGGAATAAAAATAGCTTTGGCCAATCAGTGGCCTTAACACAGCTGATGCAACAGTCCGGAGAGTATGGCAACAGGAGGAAGGAGACCTTGCCTGAACCAAAAATGCAAGGCATGGGGGAGGGGAGGAATGCATCCAACCAGTCATACATACCTCCCCATTCCTCGCTGGGCATGTAGCTCTGCTGCTGGGGTTCCAGTGCCTAGCCCAGCAACTGGCACACACAACATGGTCCAAAATATTTACCGAATGAAAGAGGAAGGGAAAGAGCAGATTTCTGAGTAGAGGCAGCTCAGCCTTCTCTCCACCTCCACACTGGTTACTCTTGCTCAGATTCTAGCTGCCCCTGCCATCTTCAAATAATATCTTAGCTTTCCTTAGAAGCCCTGTCACGAAGAAGATGAGCGGACACACCCATTACAGGCCACTTTACAGTTATGTTTCTTACTCCTAATTAATATATCTGCTTTAGGCATCAATTACAAGTGCCAGCCTGCCTCTTAGATATTCCCAGCCTTCTCTCATCCCTGGTGTGGCAGTTTCTGCTATGACGTCATGCTGCCTTTGAACACTCTGCATATTACTAAGCCTCCTGACCTGGGCCAGCGCACCTTTGGAGCACTTCAGTTTTGTCATCTGCCAAATGGGGACCTAAAACCTACTTAAGGAAGTTGTGGTGAGAGTTATAATGGGATAATGGGTGTATACCGGACTCTCGTTGGCAGAGCTGAATAATTTTCAAAGCCTACATCTCCTCTGCATTCATTCTTTGGAAGCTGGGTCACAAAAGATCATCTACTTTAGACTACTAGTGTGTTCTGATTTTCCTCCACGAAATCATTGTCCTTGGAAGTGCAGCCTGTAATCACATCTCTGAAGATCAGAAAGTCAGTGTCCTCTTATTTTTAGACAGGGTCTCTTCATGTAGCTCAGGTTTCCCTTGTCTCTGCTGGGATTACAGGAATGTACCACTATGCCCATCTTTGTTAAAGGATTATTCTTGTGAAGACAACAACTCATAGTCACTCAAAAATATGTACTTGGGGGATGGAGGTGTAGCTCAGCGGAGGAGCACATTCTACTATGTATGAAACCCTGATTTGATCCCCAGCACAGAAAAAAAGTATTAAATACACATGCCAGTGAGATGAGAGATACAGAGATAGACATGATTCCTGCCTTAAATGAAGTGCTTGTTTGTTTGTTTCATTTTTCGAGACAGGGTTTCTCTGTTTAGTCCTGGCTGTCTTGGAACTTGCTCTGTAGACCAGGCTGGCTCAAACTCAGAGATCTGCCTGCCTCTGCCTCCCGAGTGCTGGGATTAAAAGTGTACGCCACCACCGCCAGCAGTTTTTTTCCACAGCTTAATGCAGTCAAAAGAAGATGCCTCGTGACCTAGACAATCAGTTTTTTTTTTTTTTTTTTTTTTTTTGGTTTTTCGAGACAGGGTTTCTCTGTGTAGCTTTGCGCCTTTCCTGGAACTCACTTGGTAGCCCAGGCTGGCCTCGAACTCACAGAGATCCGCCTGGCTCTGCCTCCCGAGTGCTGGGATTAAAGGCGTGCGCCACCACCGCCCGGCCTAGACAATCAGTTTTACCTTTCTAAACTGAAGTGTCCTCGCTTTGTGTGAGAGGCTGGTAGCACAGCCCACTGACTGGAAGGAAGCAGTGAGACTTGTAAACATGTTAAGGAGCTCAGTGTGTTTGGAAAACAGGGCTAGAAGGAGGCTGAAGGTGTTGAGGAGTGCGCACGATGACTTTCAGCAGAGCTGAAGAAGGCTTTTTGGGAGAAGAGGCATCTCGAAGGCTTCGTTTGGGCCACAAACAGGTTGAAGGCCTTGAATTCTCCATATAACCTCAATGGGTGGAACTTGCAGAGGGTAGGGAGAAGTTGAAGGGTCCCGAGTGTGACAGCTAAGACTGCAGAAGGGGTTGAAACCTAACTTGGCAGCCCCTGAGAGTCAACCTAAAGGCCTAGCTTTATTTGATAGCTGATGAAATATCACTGGATTTTTTTTTAATTTGGCCATTACCATTATAATTATTTTTGTTTGTGTGTCTTCGTGGTAATGGGAATAGAACCCAAGGCCTTGGGATCCTAATTGAATCCTGTACCACAGGATTGGTCCACAGAGTCTATATTTTTAAAACTAAAGCTGAATCTGATATAGAGTTGTTTAGAAGATAACCCAAAGGGACATTCAGGGACCAAGGGTCTGTTACTAGAAGGACATTGTGGCAGGGGCGCAAGTAGGTGGAAAAGATGTCAAAATATGGACCCCGCCCTCAAACAAGTTTATAATCAAAAGTTTCAAAGAAGACAAATATACAGAAAGTGATAATGCAGGATAAAGCATGAAAAGTATTAAAATGCAGAGAGAAAGGCCCAGCCCAAGTGCTTGGGGCGCTTAGGAGTGGGTGGGCAAACTACCTTCTCCACCGAAGCTAGAGAGACATTAGACCTAGTCAGAAGACCATTGTTGGTATCATAAGCCTAAACTCAGACTATTCCAGAGGGGGTCTGAAAGGACCAGTCAGCTCTGGCCCTGTCCAGGACATCTTGACCAGAATAAAGAGAACTCAAATTGAAACAAAAAAAAAAAGAGGCCTGAAGAAAAATAGTGAATGGATGTATCCAGCTTAAAGTGCTGGGGTTCTGGAAGAGCCAGGCTCCTTGCAAAAGGAGAGGTGAGTGCCAGAAGTGATGAGGGTGAGTGCCTAGAAAAAAAGAGGGATAAAAACAGAACCTAGGGGAGCACCCACATTTAGGGAGTGGAAGGAAAAAGAGGAGTCAGAGGAGGAGTGGCCAGAGGGAGAAGTGAGAATAGACCCAGCCAAACACCCAAGCTACAAAGTTTCCAGGAGCGCCTGGAGGGTGGAAGACAAGAGTGAAGGCACCCCGGCAGAGTAGAAGAGGGGAAATTGTAGCTCTAGGATTGAGATTAAAGGGTATTTTTTCAAGGAGGGCTTTTCCAGAGACTCCGCAAATAAAGTAGGTGATTTCCTTGGTTTAGTGCTTCTGAAGGTGCAGATTCCTCAAGACCTGAGGGGACAGGGTGGCGGCTCTGGGCCTTCAAATGTGTGGTATTTGATCTATAATTAGAACTGGATGTGGTTAGGGCTCTCCGCAGCCCTAACCAGTCCCTCCAGGAACTGGAAAGCTGAAGAACTTCCTCGGAAGGGATTTCACACCTGGCTGTCTGGCCCAGCCCAGTGAAGTCCCGTTTCATCACGCAGCCCTAATGACTCCCTGGGCTGTCACTCTCATCTGGTATTGCCAGAGGTCTGACTAACCCTTCTTGCAAAAGTTTGCAGCATCTGTGCGAGGCCAACTACAGCTCCCAGAGTTCCCAGGTGCTTCTCGATGCTGATTGGAGAGACGCTTGGCTCCGGAGGGCGGTGTCGGCCCCGCCTCCCCGGGAAACAGGCATCTGATTGGCTGCTCCGTGGGGCTTTTTTTTGTCCCCGCCCTCCTCCAGGGACCGCAGCGGGCTGACAGAGCCCGGTGAGCGCTGGCAGTTCCGCGGTGGGGATGCTGAGGAGCGCCGGCTTCGCCAGCAGCGCTGGCCACTGCGGACTTCCGAGGCACTCAGGGCCGTGAAAACCCCCGCGCCGCGGCCAACCCCAGGCCTCCGAGGCCGGCCGCAGTTCCCCAAGCCGCGCTGGAAGGAGTGTCCAGCGTGGTAGCGCCGGTTCTGGGCATCCCGAGAGACACCCCGGGGTTCTCGAGCTTCCCCGGCGACCCCTAGCCCCGGCCTCCTGCGAGCGCCCGCCCCAGACCCCCTCGGGTGCCCCGGGCGCGGACGAGCCGCGGCTGGGTCCTGACGCACACCATGATCGTTGCGGACTCCGAGTGCCGTGCCGAGATCAAGGGCTACCTGCCGTTCGCCAGGGGCGGCGTCGCGGGCCCCGGGACCCGAGAGGTAAGCAGCCGCCGGGCGACACCGCTCTTCTCCAGCCACAGCCGAGCCTCGGGCTGTCCCGAGCTAAGTCTGGTGCTCCCACCGGGCTTAGGGGTCTGGGAGCACGTAAGCTAGCACTAAGGTTGCATCAACTGCAGCCTCCGGTCTCTCTCCCCCTCCTCTCCCTTTGCCCTCGCTACCCCCCCCCCTGGGGGGGAGGGGGCTGCGGAGCCCTCCGTGGCTCCTTCGGACTCCCGGCCAATGAGAGGGGACGCCTCCTCGTGGCTCTCTGGGTTTGTGCTCTGGTGGAGCGAGCGTCTTCAAGTCCAGGCAAATCCCGGCCGGAGAGACCGGACCACTCCTCCTCCCCGCCTCCTTCCGCAGATTCCCTTCCTCTGGGTGGGGGCAGGCGGGCCAGGAGCTCTTTCTAGGATCGGTTTCTGCACCGACCGCGAAATGAAAAGGGACTGAGCCATCTGGGACTGGCCAGCGAAGATCTAGCCCCTTCCCCAGTCCCCACCTGCACCTCCGATCTTGAAATTGGCCGAAGTGCTTTAGGGATTTGGCTGGCCGCCTGATCCTCGGCGGCAGCGGCCAGAGCGGGGGGAGAAAGCGGATAACCCTTGGTCCCGACTCCCGAAGACTAACAAGTCTCAGGCTGCTTCCTATTAAAATGTTCTGGGGTCCTCAAAGTTTGTTTTGCTGTCTCCTCAGAGAATAGAGGGACTTAGCAGGGAGACAAGGTGTAATGCTGTTATAAAGCCCCCTTTTCCACCCGGCAGACTCGACAATGAACGCCGTCTATCATTTATGGAGAGCCTGCTATATGCCAGGGTACAGGTTTTGTCTGACAAAGACAGCGAATACAAACTGTACTGAGCCCCATTTTACAGAATGAGAACATTGAAGCCCAAAAGGGCCCGAGAGAGAGGCTTCTTAAACTTAACCCTCACCCTTTGGCCTGTGTATGTCGAGGATATTGGAGAATGCTTGGCAGGGTAGAAGATACTGTTTTTGTTTTTTCTAAGTCTAGAACAGTGTGGAAGGTGTATTGACAGAGCAGCAGAGTGCCAGTCCTAAGGTGTATGCGTGACCCTAAGAAAATCTCTGCCCATGTCTGCGGAGTGTCATTTCTGGGGGTTCTCCATCCGGTGGTGGGTGGTTCCTCCAAATGATTTAGGAATCTGTGTGAAGAAACGACCCCTCTCGGGCCATTATCATTCAGACTACCACCCAGGGCATGGCTGCTCTCTACCAAACTGCCTGGTAGCCTTGCCTAAAGCTCATTCCCCTCTGCTTTCTAAAAAAAAAAAAGAAAGAAAGAAAGAAAAGAAAAAGAAAGAAACGACCCCTCGCTCCTGCCCATCCTTTTCTGGTCACTTTCGTCTGTCTGCTTTGTGAACACCGTTGTTAGTGGGAGCACCTCCGTTGTTAGTGGGAGCACCTAAGCACTGGGGTGAGTGCTGGCCTCTAGTCCCACCCACCACTTCCTTGCCGGGTTATCTTGGCCAAGTGATCACTCTGACTGCAGTCTCTTGCATAGGGATTTGATGGAATCTCTAAGAGACTGTTGAACAAATTAACTTAAAATACAAGTAAAGGCCTGAAGCTGTGTGCCTGGAACATATTTATTGCAGGGAACATGCCATTGCATTTAAAATGCTAGCTTCTGTCAGACTGGCTTAGCAGACATCCCCTCCCCACCCCCAGTGCCTCTCAAGGGACTTCCTGAATATTCTCTGCTGCCTGAGAGGGAGAGCCAGCCCATGTCTCTCCCCACAGTGCCTAATAGGGGAAAAAAAAAAATCTCAGGTGGTTTGGGTAGGATCCAAGCGAGATGGGGTGCCTTAGAGGAAACCTCCTCCAATCCCCCCATTTTGAGACAGGATCTCATGAGACAGGATCAGACAGTCTGGCCTCATGACCATCTTCCCACCACAGCCTCCTGAGTGTTGGAGTTACAGGTGTCCCCCAACACTGGATTTAAGAAAGTCTCTTTACAGTATTGGAGAAAGCTGGTAATGTTCTCAACATTTCTACATCCTCTGCTCCCTCAAGAAAAGACAATCTGAGCCGGGTGGCGGTGGCACAGGCCTTTAATCCCAGCACTCAGGAGGGAGAGTCAGGCGGATCTCTGTGAGTTCCAAGCCAGTCCGGTCTACAGAGTGAGATCTAGGACAGGCACCAAAACTACACAGAGAAACCCTGTCTCGGAAAAACAAAATACAAAAAAAAAAAAAAAAGAAAAAGACCATCTGCTGGTCAGTGGTGGTGCATACCTTTAATCTCAGCACTTGGGAGGCAGAGGCAGGTGGATCTCTGAGTTCTAGGCCAGCCTGATCTACAGAGCCAGTTCCAGGACAGCCAGGGCTACACAGAGAAACCTTGTCTCAAAAAACCAAAATAAAATAAAGTAAAATAAAATAAAAAGAAGAAGAAAGAAAAGATGGAAAGATGTCCTTAAAGGTGTCTGCTTCAAGTAGAATCCTGAGAAGATAGGGTGCCCATCTTCCAGACTATAGTGTCAAGACTCAGGGAAGGGCCAGATGGATAGTTCTTCAATGGTTTCAGACCCACTTTCAAAGTGTCAAGGCCTTCAGATATGCCTGTCTCCAGAAAGTTTCAAGACTCTTGCCTTGAGTGGTATGTTTTCAAAACCATATTGGATTCTAGAATAACTTCCTCAAACGTCACTTCCTCAGAAAAGCTTTCCTCCAGATGAGTCCCTTTGCACACTGCTTCCAGTCTCTTTTCCATTGTGAGCTAGTTCCACATAGGCCTTTCTTTTTTTTTTTTTTTTTTTTTTTTTGGGTTTTTCGAGACAGGGTTTCTCTGTGTAGCTTTGCGCCTTTCCTGGAACTCGCTTTGGAGACCAGGCTGGCCTCGAACTCACAGAGATCCACCTGGCTCTGCCTCCCGAGTGCTGGGATTAAAGGCGTGCGCCACCACCGCCCGGCCTCACATAGGCCTTTCTTTCTGCCTCCCTTTCCTGGATCAGTGACTCCCTGCAGGGCTCACAGTCCTTTGCAACTAAGTGTTTAATTGACCCTTGTGGACTGAAGCCCCACTGGGTAAGAAAGAGTGTTACCCAGTGGGGTAACACTCTGAGTTTAGGTCACTTGTCTCTAAAGAAGGGACAACAAGTTCTGTTTGTCTCAGGATGATTGAGAGGAAATAAGGTGTTTGTGAGATCAAACATGTAAAGCACTTTAGCCTGGGGCCCGGTCCATGTTCTCTGCCTCTCTGCTGGGGCTGCTTCTATGTCTCTACCTCAGGTGTAAACCCAGGCTCTTTTCTGGATTCAGCTGACAGATAGTGAGCAATACCAGACCTTCCGAGCTGATAGAATGACTTAGCAGGTGTCTCTAGCTGAGTCCTGGGGCTGGCAGACTCCAGAGAACAAGAACAAAGGTTAGGCGACTCAGAGGGGCCCCTGCAGCTGGTGAACAGCACTCTGGGAAGTCAGTTTGTGCTGAGTTTCAATCGCCAGGTCTGGTGCCATTTCCAGAAACGGTTAGGGTAGAGTGGGAAGGGGGGGCCTTGGAGAGGCCAGGCACTTGACTCCCCTATGAAAAATACTCCCCATAACTTTCAAGCTGATATGGATCAGATGTAAATAGGACGGGAGCTCTTGAGTTTAACACAAAAGTTACTGTCTAGCTAGAACTTGAATTAGGAGCCAGGGGGTGTTCCCTGAGGGGGGTAGTCCCTTTTACCAAGGGTCTAAAGACCCCCCGGTGAGTCCTCCCGGAGAGCCGTCTAACCTCATTGTTCCGCTGCCTTGTGATCCCTCAGTTGGAAAAGGAGGAAAAGCCACTGGTGACTTGCTCCTCTGGGTTTCCCTGTCTTTGTCTCTAAGGCTGGGTTGGAATCATGCCTCCTCAGGTGTGCTCTTCAGTATGGCAGGCAGCCCCTAGCCACATCTGACAAAAATTAGAGCTGGTAACTCCAGGCATGGTGGCACACATCTGTAATCTTAGCATCTAGGAGGCTAAATTAGGAGTCTTGCTCTGAGTTCACATCTGCAGGATGAATTCCACCCCTGCCTGCAGAACAACAAAACAAAATTTAGAACTAGCGTGGTGTAGAGGCAGGGGGATTGAAAGTTTTTTAAAAGTTACATATCAAAACTTTGTCTCAAAAAAATAACTAATTAAGCTAAATTCAAATTGTTAAGCAAAAATTCAAGATTTTTGTTGTTGTAGTCATATTTCAAATGCTGGGTGTGAAGAACAGCTAGGGACCACTGTGTGTATGAGACAGTACAGATGCAAAGCATTCCCTCATGTGGAGAGCTCTATTGGTACTTTTTTTTAAAGAAAATGCCCCACAGACTTGCAGACTTGCCTATGGGCCCATATGGTAGAGGCATTTTCTTTCTTTTTCTCTTCTTTTTAAAAAGAATTTATTCTTTTTATTTCATGTGCATTTGTGTTTTGCCTGCATGTGTGTCCATGTGAAGGTGTCGTGTTCCCTGAAACTGGAGTTAGAGGCAGTTATGAGCTAACATGTGGATACTGGGAATTGAACCCAGGTCCTCTGGAAGAGCAGCAGCCAGTGCTCTTAATTGCTGAGCCATCTCTCCAGCCCCTGTACTCTTTAAAGAGTTATTTGTTGAGCCAGGCAGTGGTGGCGCATGTCTTTAATCCCAGGCAGAGGCAGGTGGATCTCTGTGAGTTCAAGGCCAGCTTGGTCTACAGAGAGACAGCCAAGGCTGTTACACAGAAAACCCTGTCTCGAAAAAAACCAAAACAAAACAAAAAGAGTGGAAAATAGTCTTACCACTAAACCGTTGCTCCAGGCCCAAAAGTTCTATTGGACTAGTATTAGATTAGTGTACTAGACAGTGGATCGACAACAGGAAACTAGACCCTTTGTGCCCTCAAGGCAAGAGTTCCCCTGGAAGGGGTTGGGGTTGGGGGTAGTGAATTCCTAAGGCTTAAGTAGATAAGAGGCCTCTCATTCTTGGCCAATCCTGGGTGCTGGTTCATAAATCTTGGTTGTTGAGAATGGGGAATGGCTTCCATACCAGCAGGAACCTGCTCTGTATTCACCCCTCCCACTTCCTTCCTAGCTGAGTGACCAGAAGTGACTTGCACCTTCATCTGTAAAGTTTTAGTTGCAGCTTTTACCTTCAAATCCTGATAGTTAGTACACATGAAGTCAGTGCATAGGCCAGTAGAACCAGGGAATACCTACTCCTGTTATTACTCAACATTGTTATTGACGGTCTGTCCCAGGGAATGGGAGGGGGCTGATTTGATGGTGCCACCTCTTGGCAGTGAGAGCCTGCTCCTCCAGCTTCCCCTGGACTTGCCCCATGTCAAGGTCAAGGGAGCATTCAGGATACTGGAGCCATGGATTCCAAACCCTAGTCTTGCATTCAGGACTTTCCAGTATCCCCTCCATCTTCACAAGGCTCTGCTGCCTTCGCAACCTACCTGGCAGGTCAGTGACCTCCCCAGTGGTTTTTCCTGTCCTGTTAAACTGAAATACCACACACACACACACACACACACACACACACACACACACACACACACACACACACACACACACACACGCTCGCTCCCACCCTGTCACTACTCATCACGCTGTTTCACCTTTTCATCATTTGTTTGCTTTCTCCCTGGGAACTGAAATGACGGGAAAGCTGGCTGGGACGTTGTCTTGTCACAGCTGTATTCACACTGCCTGTAATATAGTCACCAAAATATTGTCAAATGGACAAATTAATTCTGATTTTCCCTGGAAAGCACTCAGCACTGTACTCTGTACCTGAGAGAGTAATCGCTAAGTGGCACCAACAATGACCCCCCTCCCTCTCCGTGTGGATTGCTGGAGCTGGGACTTTGGTTCCTGTATACCACTTCACAAAGGGATTCTAACGGACACTGGGGCAGAGAAGCTCTTGTTTGAAATAACAATGAAGTTAATGCTCTCCCTGGTGGATGTGCTGAGGTAAATGGTGTGGCTTAGTCCCATTAAATCCTTGTGGCTACCCAGTGCAAGTCCCATTATTAGGGTAGGAAACTGAGGCTCACATTACTAACTGATGAGTGGAGCTATCGATTTTTATTTTATTTATTTATTATTTGTGCTAAACCTTGAACCCAGGGCCTTGTGCAGCATGGCTGCTTGAGCTGTGCTTTCGGCTCCCTCCACATGGCAACACTCCACAGAGGAGCTATGGTCCCAGCCTCCAAAGCTCCTATCTTTGGTCAGCTCTACATTATTATTATTATTATTATTATTATTATTATTATTATTATTATTATTTATTTTGCTGGATAATACTGATGGGTCTAGAACCATCACTTAAGACCCAGGGGTATGGTTTCCTTCCTTTGTTGGCTCCTGGCTCAGACTTGAGACTCAGATGATCCTAAGGCAGTCTCTTTTCCGAACATCCAGAGGCCCTTATTTCTCTGCCTCTGCTGCTGTGGTTTCCTTTTTCTCCTTTTCTTTTTAATTTTTCATCTTAGAATTTTAATATTTGCATATTCCACATACACCCCAGTGGTTTTGTTTGCTTGTTTAGAGGCAATATCTCACTGTGTAGCCCAGGGTGTCCTCAAACTCCTGATCCTCTTGCCTCAGCCGCCTCCCCAGTGCTGGTATTACAGGTGTTTGGCTATCTGCCCTCAGGTCCTCTGCATGAGGGAGGCCCAGTCTGTAGAGTCAGCAGTTCTTATCTCCCAGACGGAGCTGCTGGGCATTTTCTCAAGTAAGGGAGGAGGGGAGCAGCTGTAGAGAGAGTGCTTGGGGACTGTGGTGTTTCTGTGTGCCCTCAGACCAGCCTGGCCTGCTACCTCTTAGCAGTGTGGGTTGAAGGCCTGTATGGAGGCTAGTGGTGCATGCCGCCTTTAATCCCAGCACTCCAGAGGCAGAGGCAGGATCAAGGACAGCCTGGTCTACAAAGCGAGTCAGTTCCAGGACAACCAGGGCTACACAGAGAAACTGTCTGTAAAAAAAAGTATGTCAGCCTAGTCCCCTTCTGTCCTGTCCTCAGGATCCAGACCTCAGAGAGCCTAAATAATTTTCCCAGGCCACACAGCAAATTAGCAGCAGAACCAGAATGCACACCTAGGCCTCTAGACTCCTTCTTTCTTTTGTTATCTCGTAGACCCTAGAGGTCGCCTCTCCTTCGGGGACTTTTGGCCACTTAAAGAATAAAAGGCTGGAGTATAGTTTTGGGTCCTTGAACATCTGAAGTACTAAGCCTGGATCTTGCCAGGAGAAAGGTCTGGGGGACAGTCCCTTTGTAGTGAAGGCAGAACTGTTATTTGGGTCAATTATGTCAAGGCTGGTATGGAGAGCCCCATGCTGACATTCAGCAACTAAGAGAATAAATAGAATGTTCTCCCAGACCTCGTCTCTAGGAGCAGGAGAAGCAGCTTCATTGAATGCATGGCTCTGGCTCAAATAAGCTCAGGTCAGAATAGCTGCCACCAGCCTGCACATCCCACTTGGGGTGTGTGTGTGTGTGTGTGTGTGTGTGTGTGTGTGTGTGTGTGTGTCCGCCACTCTGCTTTCTGTTTTCATTCACAGAGCAGAATGAATGACCTGGCCCTGCTCACCACAAAATGTGATGTGGGAGCAAAGCGACTTAAAAGAGGCCCTTAGTGGGCAGTGCTTGTGGAAGCAGAGACACGGGGAGTGTGGGGTCACGGACAGTAGGGCTGGGAGAGCCGTTCAGCTCCAAAGGGATGTGGCTGGACCACATGTTTATCTGGAAGCCTTTGGGAAGGGGAGGTTGGGTTTTTAGTGACTGGATCAGATTCATTCTTGAGAAAGTTAATCTGGTTACGGGTATCAGATGGGTGCTGGGTAGAGGATGGAGAGGAGAGGGCAGAGTAGTGCGGGCAGGGACAGTTGTGAGGCTCAGAGTGGTGATAGCCTAGAAGATGTGGCCGGAAGGATCAACAAAAGACCGCTTGCAGGGCTGTGACAGGTGCAGCTCAGTGTAGAATGTGCCCAGCTGCCAAGCGTCATGCCTAGGTTCATCCTTAGCATTGAAGAAAAAATGAAAAGAGTAAGAAAACTGATTATTTGAGAAGAATTGAAGCTTCTTCATAGGCCTATAGGGTGGTAACTGGCTTTGGAATATAGAGTTCTTATTTTAAAAAGGTCTCCCCATGAGGCCCAGACATTGTCTCACTATGTAACCCTCACTGGCCTGGAACTCAGAGATCCTCTGTCTTTGCCTCCTCAGTGCTGGGATTAAAGGCATGTGTTACATGGTCTAATCTCTTGTTTTACAAAATGGATGTGTGCATAAATCACAGCGTGTGTGTGTGTGTGTGTGTGTGTGTGTGTGTGTGTGTGTATGTGTGTGTGTGTTGGAGACCAGAGGACAATTTGTAGGAGTCAGGTCTCTTTCTAATGTGGGTGCCCAGAGATTGAATCCAGGTCTTCACACTTGGTGGCAAGCACCTGTACCCACCGAGCTGTCTCTTTGGCTTCTAGGACTGCAAAGACACTGGCCTCCTGGAGACAGGCAACATGACACTATTTCCTTCCCCGGGTCGCTCCGGGGTTTGGGTTCTTGCTGAGTTCTGAGCAGGTCAGCCCTGCTTTCTCACCCACTTGCTATTCACCAAATGGGTCTAAATGTTACCCCCTGGCTGTGTCCCAGGGTTGGAGAAGGAGGCTAGCAGGCAAACAGCCCTCTCCATCCTCCTGCCAAATGACCACCATGTGTTTTTCCATAGGAACACCAGGAGGGCCGGGCCCGGCGAGGCCCTCGAGGACCCAGCGCCTTCATTCCAGTGGAGGAGGTGAGTTTGAAGCGGGGTAGGAGTCTTTGGTCCCTCGGAGGAAAAGCTGTCGAACACGGGTAGATCAGGATCTTTTATTTTCCCACTCCTGATTTATTTAATTTCATAAAAAAGACTCTTGAAAGCCGGGCAGTGGTGGCTCTCGGGAGGCAGAGCCAGGCAGATCTCTGTGAGTTCGAGGCCAGCCTGGTCTACAGAGTGAGTTCCAGGACAGGCACCAAAGCTACACAGGCTCCACAGATATACCTTGGGGCTGGGGTGGGGTTGTGTGTGTGAAATGATAGAGACACAGCCAGACTTGAGATTCCCAAACTAGTGCTTATTTCTACGTAATAAGACAAGAGATATATCCATGTCTCATCTGACCCATGATCACTTATAAAAGTGTATATATTACCAAAAATATGCTCTAAAATTAGCATCTGCTTATTGTTTTCAGGTGTCCAGAGCACTGGTTTCACTTGACACAGTGGCTTATGCCTGTAATCCAAGTACTTGGGAAAGCAGAGGCAGGAGGATTGCTATTGGTTTGAAGCCAGCCTGGGCTCCATAGCTCCATCAGGGATGAGGAGAAAGACTGTCTCAAAAAGGGGGGCGGTGTGTGGGGAAGAGAAAGCAAGCTCCCTGTGGTCACATAACCACAGAACCAAGGTCATGGTTCAAAGCCTGTTTTGTTGTGTTCTTTACAGCAGGGTTATCTCTCTTTCATCTACAGAATTGGTTCATCCTTCACTCTGTTGTTATTTTGATTTTGCAACAGGGTCTTAACTCTGTAGCCTGGCTGACCTCACTCACAGTGAGTGATCTTCCCGCCTCAGCCTCCCTCATGCTGGGGTGACAGCTGCCGGCCACTGCATTTAGCTCATTGTTATGTGTTTACTTTTCTCTGTGCTAACAGTCAAATCTAGTGCCTCGCACATGCTAGGCTGGTGTTCCACCCACCCTCATCCACATCTCTAGCCCCCACTCATTCACTCATTTAACAGATAGCTATTCAATTGTGACTCGGTGTCAGGCACTGACCTTGGAACCAGGGATAGAGAGTAAGATAGACAAAAATCTTTGTCATAGTTGGGTGGTGGTGGTGGTGGCGCACGCCTTTAATCCCAGCACTCGGGAGGCAGAGCCAGGCGGATCTCTGAATTTGAGGCCAGCCTGATCTACAGCTCGAGTTCCAGGACAGGCTCCAAAGCTACACAGAGAAACCCTGTATTGGGGGGGGGGGCAAAAAAATCTTTGCCATTATGGAGCTTGCATTCTAGTGCTTGGGTAACATGGGAATGCCTTCAGAATACACATACAGAGGGATTTGTTATACAGCGATGGAGTTTTCGTTTCCTGTTTTTCTGGTTTTGAGATGGTCTACCTAGAACTAACTCACTGTATCGATTAGTCTGGTCTTGAGTTTGTGCTGTCTTACATGTAGGCCAAATGGTTTGTGGCCTGCTAACAAAACATCTAACTTCTCTTCCCCCTCCTTTGTGATGGAAGGTAAACAACCACCCGCTGGTATTTACATCTATATCCCAGCATTTTAACCTCACATATTGTTCTTGTATTTTATTTTTTCCACTTATAAATAACTCTTATTTTAACAACAACAGCAAAAAAAAAAAAGAAAAGAAAAGAAAAGAAAAAGAGCCGGGTGGTGGTGGTGGGGCGGCGCGCGCCTTTAATCCCAGCACTCGGGAAGCGGAAGCAGGCGGATCTCTGTGAGTTCGAGGCCAGCCTGGGCTACCAAGTGAGTTCCAGGAAAAGGCGCAAAGCTACGCAGAGAAACCCTGTCTTGAAAAACCAAAAAAAAAAAAAAAAAGAAAGAAAGAAAGAAAGAAACAGGCCTTGGAGTTCATCTAGATTAGAATCCTGTTTCTGTCATTTATCAGATCTGTGGCTTCAAGCAGATCTGGTTTCTTCATCTATTAATGGAGGAAAATAATAGTATTCACCTCACAGGACAAGTTCAAACACTCAAGGAGATTCATAATTGGATCGCTATCTGTTAGATGAATGAATCAGTCAGGGCTGGGGATGCAGCTCGGTGGTAGAACACTTGCTTACCATGCACAAGGCCCAGGATTTGGTACCCAGCTCCACATAAAAAAATAAGAAGAAAAGGAAAAAAGGAGGAAAAGGGGCTCTGGTATATAGCTCAGTGCAGATGCTGGAGTGCTTGCCTGGCATCTACAAAACCCTGGCTTAGATCCTTAGCGCCACAAAAATGGTCATGGTGGTGCATGCCTATAACCCCACCACTTGGGAGATAGAGGCGGGAGGATCAGAAGTTTGAGGCCAGCCTGACCTACATGAGACCCTGAATCCTTTAAAAAAAAAAAAAAAAAAAGTCCCATGAAGTTAAACAGCTCTACATGAGAAGACACTCAGGACTGTGACATGTTCTGCACATCCCCCAACCCTTCATGGCTGTCTGCATCTGCCGTATTAGAAGAGAAATCCTATGAAGACAGGAGAAACTATACATTCTTTTTTTTTTTTTATTGCCAGGGATCAAACCCAGGGCCTCATACATGCTAAGCATTCATTTTACCACTGAGCTACTCCCCAGTCTCCAGCAACCATTCTTCTTAATTTCTCTGACTAAATCTTCATCTATAAAAAGGGAGAAGAGTAGGTAGGGGTAGCGCATACTTTTAATCCCAGCGCCCTGGAGGCAGAGGCAGGCTGATCTCTGAGTTCTAGGACAGCCTGGTCTACGGAGTGAGTTCTAGGACAGCAAGGGTTACACAGAGAAACCTTGTCTTGAAATATATAAAATAAAGGGGGTGGGGAGGGGGAAGGGCCTGGGGACATAGCATAGTGGTAGGATATTTGCCTAGCATGCATGAAGCCCTAGGTTTGATCCTCAGCATTGGGGGAAAAAAATCATTACAAAATAAAATAAAGAAAATTGGACTCTAATTTCCTAGCTGTCTTGAGGATTGAGTGAGTTAATACATATACTTGGACATCCATAGACATGTCTAGGTCATATCAGCTGCCTAATCAGTGTTTGATCAGTTTCCTCTTTTGGACGTGATGGCAGTGTTCAGTCTCCTGCTATTATATCTATATACTACAACTATGTATACAGAACAAGGAAGACGTTGCTCTGGATGGGGGCAGAAGCGAACCCATGCTCTCCTCTTTCCTAGCAGATCCTTCAGGAAGGAGCTGAGAGCCTGGAGCAGCACCTGGGACTCGAGACTCTGATGTCTTCAGGACGGGTGGACAACCTGGCAGTGGTGATGGGTCTCCACCCCGACTACCTTAGCAGCTTCTGGCGCCTGCACTACCTGCTGCTGCATACAGATGGGCCCCTGGCCAGCTCCTGGCGCCACTACATTGCCATCATGGTAAGTTTATCTGGGCCTGGTGCTTTCAGGGGTGGCCAAATGGTCTAGCTTCAGATTCATTTGCTGGGACTCTCCTGAGTTGATTTTTTTAGGTGAAGAGAAAGTGTCTAGCTTTACCTGATGATGTCCATGGAATTTTAGGTTTTGAAGAGAGGAGAGGCATCTTTAAGTGTGTGTTTTGCAGATGGGGAAACTGAGGAACAAAGGGGTCAGATGAAGTTAGAATACAGATTTTTTTTTCTACCCCTTAGATCTCAAGGGGATCTTTCCAGAATGGTGCCCAGAGGGACGTTAACTCAGGCTTATCAACTCCCTTCACAGGCTGCTGCCCGCCACCAGTGTTCTTACCTGGTGGGCTCCCACATGACTGAGTTCCTGCAGACCGGTGGTGACCCCGAGTGGCTGCTGGGCCTCCACCGGGCCCCTGAAAAGCTCCGCAAACTCAGCGAGATCAACAAGCTGCTGGCGCATCGGCCGTGGCTCATCACGAAGGAGCATATCCAGGTGTGGTAGACAGAGAGTTGGGACCCTGAGGAAGCCTGGGCTGGATGGGGGGTGGGGTGGGGTGGGGTGGTGGTGGTGGTGGCAGCCCAGGGGCAGCCACTAAGCGGGTTAGCTCTCTCTCCCTTCCAGGCCTTACTGAAGACTGGCGAGCACAGCTGGTCCCTAGCTGAGCTCATCCAGGCTCTGGTCCTGCTTACCCACTGCCACTCTCTGGCCTCCTTCGTGTTTGGCTGTGGAATACTTCCTGAAGGAGATGCAGAGGGCAGCCCTGCCTCACAGGCACCCTCGCCCCCCAGCGAGCAAGGCAGTCCCCCAAGTGGGGACCCATTGAACAACTCTGGGGTAAGTCATGGTCCTGGGTCTTGGTGTGGGAGGAAGCTGGTGCGGCCTTTGCTCTGGGACTAGAAACCACAGGTTCCCCATCTCCTCACAGTGAGAGGCTACAGCAAAAGTGCTTGGCTTTAAAACTCAGGGTTTTTTTTTGTTTTTAATGTGACATGGGGATAAAGACCTAGCCACGGTGGATTGTGAGGAGTAAGTGAGGCACTATGTGCCTGACCTAACAGCAGCACACAGCCTCTGAGGACCGCAGTCTGCTGGGGTTTCTGTTGGTTTGTTTTGGTGTTGAGCCTGGGATGGCCTCGAACTTACCGTGGAGTCAAGTAGTAGAGACTATGGGTGTGCACCATTGTGCCAGCTGATGTGTTGTTGTGGTTATTTGTGGGTGTTTTGGGTTTGGTTTTGTAATTGAGTTTGAGGCAGGGTCTTACTCTGTGGCCCGCGCTAGCCTCGTGGTGATTCCCCACATCTCCGTCCTCTCACTGTGAGTCACCATGTCTGACATGGTTTTGTTCAGTTGACTGTACAAAGTTTGGGTTTTGGTGTATCTCAGTGGTGGCTGTTTGCCTAGTCTGTGTGAAGCCTTGCGTTCGACAATCAGCAACAGCACCACAATTCAGACAACAGAGGCTGGAGAGATGGCTTGGTGGTTAAGAGCACTGGCTGTTCTTCCAGACGACCTAGGTTCAATTCCCAACACCTACATGGCAGCTCACAACTGTCTGCAACTCCAGTTCCTGGGGATCTGGCACCCTCACACAGACATGAATGCAGGCAAAACACAAATGCACGTAAAAATATTTTTTTTAAAAAAAAAGCAAGAAAACAAAACCCACCAATCAACAGAAACTGCCATAATCCCAGCATTCAGGATGCAGAGGCAGGCAGATCTCTGTGAGTTCAAGGCCACTGGTCTACATCCTAAGTTCCAGGACAGCCGGGGCTACATAGTGAGTACCCTGTCTCAAACAAACAAAAGTCAGAAACCTTGTAAATTACAACTGAAGGAAGACACCTGTCTCCTCTCTGGCCTTATAAATGTCCCTGTGGAAGACTTGCAGACTGTGAGCTGCCCAGTGTGGCGGCTGGCTCCCAAACTGCTCTAGTCCTTTCTGGTCACTCAGGAAGGCCTGGGATGTGGGAAATCTGAGTGAAGTTTTCCAGAGGACTAGATGGTAATTCTTGGGTCCTCTCTACAGGGCTTTGAAGCTGCCCGCGATGTGGAGGCTCTGATGGAACGCATGAGGCAGCTGCAGGAGAGCCTGCTGCGGGATGAGGGGGCTTCCCAGGAGGAAATGGAGAACCGCTTTGAGCTGGAGAAATCAGAAAGTCTGCTGGTAACCCCCTCAGGTACAGAATCACAGACGTCATTGCGAGGGGCTGCCTCTGTCTTTACCCTTTGGATGGGAGTAGACATCTCCATGCACCATGCCTTCTCCTTCCAAGAGGTTCTGAGCGTGGGTCTTGTGTTCAGACTTGGCCTTTGAATCCTGGTCTGTTAGCCCTTCAGGACTGTGTCAGGTAGATGGAGCCAAGCTTAGAGCCTTCCCCAGGTTGAGCTATCCCACAGAACTACCACTATTACTGTTACGGGGGCCTTGCCTCCTGGGTTCTTGGGCAGGAGTCTCCTCTTCCCCAGGAGCGGCTCCAGCTAAAGTCTTAGTGTGGGGAGAGGCTCTCTGTGGTCCCCTGTTGTACTCCGGTTGCCGCTCTGATGATAGGAAGCCTGCTGTGCTCCAGGCTCAGCCTCACTGACACCTCTATCTGCTATGGCCCTCAGCGGATATCCTGGAGCCCTCTCCGCACCCAGACATTCTATGCTTTGTGGAAGACCCCACTTTTGGATACGAAGACTTCACTCGCCGAGGGGCTCAGGCTCCCCCTACCTTCCGAGCCCAGGTGAGGCTCCCTGCGCTGATGGTGCTCACTGCTTTAGGTCTGCACAGAACAGGGCCAGGCGCTTCCAGTGGCTCTAAAGTGGGTACCTTCTCCCCTCAAAAACCCATGAGGCTGCCAGGCCATGGTTGCACATGACTTAAATCCCAGCACTTGGGAGACAGAGGCAGGTGGATCTCTGAGTTCAAGGCCACCCTGGTCTACAGAGTTAGTTCCAAGACAGCCAGGGCTACACAAAGAAACCCTGTCTTGAAAAAAACAAAGCAAAACAAAACAGAAAACCCATAAGGGCAATGAAGACCAAAAAGATCCCAATTCATGGGAAAGGTCATCATCCTGGGACATCCTGGTTGGTTTGTCAGGCCCAGCGCAAGCACTGTATCAGATTTGTGGTTCAGGGAGGGTGTGTTATGCAAAGCTAAGGTGTGAATCGTAGAAGTCCAGAGGACAGATCCCTGGCCAGGCTTGGGCTTCCAAAGTCTTGCTCACTGACCTCTTCCCTCATTCCTCAGGATTATACCTGGGAAGACCATGGCTACTCACTGATCCAGCGGCTCTACCCTGAGGGAGGGCAGCTGCTGGATGAGAAGTTTCAGGTAGCCTACAGCCTCACCTATAATACCATTGCCATGCACAGCGATGTGGACACCTCCATGCTCCGCAGGGCCATCTGGAACTACATCCACTGTGTCTTTGGCATCAGGTGAGCGAGTGACCCCCAGGTTCAGGTCACGTGGATGCTACAAATCTTTCTTGAACACTCTGTCATTTTTACTTTTCCTTTTCTTCTTGCCTTATAATAATTTTTAGGCTGAGTTCATGTCTTTGCAGGTTTAAAGCTAATGTGAACGCTCATTGTTCAAATGCTATAAACAAAACTCTTTACGCTCTTTCCCAGAGATAACAGGGCTTTGTTTGTCATGCAATACAGAGGATTGAACCCAAGGCCGTGAGCATGCTAGACAAGCACTTTTATTTTATTTTGTATGGTTTTAGGTTCTTTTACTTACTTATTTATTTTTGGTGTTTCGAGGTAAGGTCTCACTCTGTAACCCAGACTAGCCTAGAACTTGTATGCTTCAGGCCAACCTTGAGCTCTTGACATTCCCCTGCGTTAGCTTCTTAGGAGCTGGGCTTACAGGCCTGCTCTCCCAAAGCTCTTTAACTGTGGTTTCATGTGTGTATGTGTATTCAGGTACCTCTACACGAACACAAACATAAACCTATGCATACATGTGTACACACTACATAGCCTCATGGTTTGTTTGTTTCTTTCTTTTTTTGTTGTTTTTGTTTTTTCAGATTTATTTATTATGTATACAGTGTTCTGCCTGCAGGCCAGAAGAGGGCACAAGATCTAATTTTAGATGGTTGTGAGCCACCATGTGGTTGCTGGGAATTGAACTCAGGACCTCTGGAGGATCAGCCAGTGCTCTAACCTTTGAGCCATCTTTCTAGCCCTTTTTTTTTTTTTTGGTTTTTCAAGACAGGGTTTCTCTGTGTAGCCTTGGCTGTCTTGGAACTCACTCTGTACACCAGGCTGGCCTCAAACTCACAGAGATCTGCCTGCTGGGATTAAAGTCATGCACCAACTCTGCCCTGCTATAGACTCATGTTTAAATTTCAAAATAGCTCATCTTTTCTTGTAATAAATAAGGATAGCACAGATATGCATCAGCAGCAGATTTTAAATAATGATGTTTACATTCATAACCTATTACGCGACTCAGGAAAATTATGAACAAGAGCCCAGCATGTGGGAGGTTTTTCACTAAAATATTAAGTGTGGTCAACTCTATACGATATAGTATAGTGAGTTATATTTTTATCTTGTTAAATCTTTCCTACTTAAAATATTTTTATTTTATTTACTTGTATGTATGTGTGTATACGTACAAATGTGTGGCACAGTATCCGTGTGGAGGTCAGAAGAAAACTTGCTGGAGTTTGTCCTCTTCTTCCACCATGTGGGGCCGAGGGATCAGACTTGGATCATCAGTCTAGATGGCAAGCTTCCTTACCCACTGAGCCATATTGCCTGTCCACTGGTTTTTCTAGGAAGAGTTGTTTTTAAGTGATGTGAGATATTTACTGTTGAATATTTAGGTTGTCTGTAGGGTTGTTTTTTGTTTTTCTCTTTTGTTGTTACATTTTTTTTCCTCCCCTAGCCCCTCTCTCCCCATCCTAAGAAGGAGTCTGGTGGCTCAAATTTGGAACCCCTCTGTTTCTTTGATCTCGCAGGTGTTGAGATTACTGGCACGTGCTGCCACCCCATCTCGGGTTTACCCTTCTACACACTCTTTGCACTGACTGCTCTCACACACATGTTCTCAGAGATAAATCCCCCAAAGAAAATGATTTATCTAAGATACACACAGAACTTTATTTTTAAGTAGTGTCTCTCAATAGTCTAGGTTGACCTTGAATTCACAGCCGTCCATCTATTTCAGTCTCCAGTGCTGGGATTGCAAGTGTGAGCTAGTCCCCTACTCCAGGCTTTTTCCTTCTCTTTTCCTCCCTCCCTCCCTCCCTTCCTTCTTCCTTCCTTCCTTGCTTCCTTTCTCTATTTGCTTTTGCTCACGCCTGTAATCCCAGAACTGGGAAAGCAAAGACAGAAGGATCAGGTAGGTGTTCAGGGCCATCCTTAGCTGTATAACAAGTTCACCAGCTGGGCTTCAGGACTCTAAAAATAAAAATAGAAAGTAAGTGTGTGGGGGGGGGGGGGGCTGGGGAGCAGGAGGAGGGGAGAGTGGGGGATCTGTGGTTGGTATGTAAAATGAATAGAAAAAAATTCCTTAATTAAAGAAAGAAAGTGACACCCTAAAACAGAAAAAAGAAACAAAAATCACCAAAATTGCTGGGCAGTGGTGGTGCACACCTTTAATCCCAGCACTTGAGAGGCAGAGGCAAAAGAATCTCTGTGAGTTTGAGGCCAGCCTGGTCTATAAAGTGAGTTCCAGGACAGTCAGGGCTACACAGAGAAATGCTGTCTCAAAAAAACCAAAATAAAAAACAAAAAAAACCCACCAAAATTGTCTAGGAGATCACCTTATTTTATTATCAGGTGTTTCCTTCCTATCTTTTTTCCATACACACATAGAAGCTGGACTAGGGAGGGACAAGTAGCTTCTAGACTCACTGCCAGCTCGCTTTTGGATTTTGAACAAGTTAATTGCCTTCTCTAGGCCTTAGCTTGCCTGTCTGGAATTAGCACTGTCTCCTTTTTCCCTAAACCACTTGGTTCTCCAGGATTAACACGCACTGACCTTCCTTCCTCTCCTTTACTGTAGAACAGTGAGTATAGGAGAGCTGGATTTGAAATCACTCCCTTCTCAGTGAAATTAAATTGGTGAACACAGCATATTGTATATGACAGAGTATGTAGTTTGTAGGTTCGTGACTGGCACCGTCAGAGCTCAATAGAGCATGCTCATTGTCAGTGTTACCTAGAGTGGTCCTCTATGGGCCTATGACATACGATGTTAGCTGTTTTTCTAAGAGGAACCAGGCTCTGGTTGCCTCCTGCCTTCTGGCTTTTCTTGCCACTCTCTCTTCCTCCTTCTGTAGGGTGGGGTAGGTGGGACGTACTGCTTCTGAGAGCAGATCGTGAGTAATGCTGTCTGGGTCTTTCCATCAGATATGATGACTATGATTATGGGGAGGTAAACCAGCTCCTGGAAAGGAACCTCAAAATTTATATCAAGACCGTGGCCTGCTACCCAGAGAAGACAACCCGCAGGATGTACAACCTCTTCTGGAGGCACTTCCGCCACTCAGAGAAGGTAACAGCAAAATGGACGTGAAAACAGCCAAGCCAGGCCTGTAGGAGATCCAGAGGGTAGCACTCAGTGACGGTCACAGTGGGAACCTGGGCCTGTTGTCCTTGGTTAAATCCTGTTCCACTGTGTGATTTCAGACTTCATTTAAATCGAGTACACGGAGGCGTGTTCCCACAGGGCCTTCAATGGCAGTTTGGCAGGCATAGGTTTGAATCTTAAGCCTCACATAGGAGCAGTGTGACTTTGGGCACGTGACCTTGCATCTTTGAGCTTTTCCTCTTTACAATGAGAGGAGACACTGCCTGCATTTCAAAGTTGGGAAGACACCATGAGACTATGTATGGAAACATTTGATCCTGCCAGTTAATGGTAGCTCTTCTTTTAGACTTGAGAGATTAAGCCGTTAGTCACGACAGGGGAATTCCTCAGCAGTCACTGCACCAGATTGCAGAGCCCTGCAGGTCGGGTGGGAGTGCTGGTGGGAGGCGTGGGTGAGGTGAGTGCCCCAGGAATCGGGAATCGTAGCCTGGGGCGGGGGGGGGCGCGGGAGTGCCCCAGATGGGGTCGGGAATCGTAGCCTGGGGGGGCTGCAGAGCAACTGTCAACGAGCCTCGTTCTTTCTGTGTCTCAGGTTCACGTGAACTTGCTGCTCCTCGAGGCCCGAATGCAAGCAGCCCTGCTCTATGCCCTCCGGGCCATCACCCGCTATATGACCTGACTCCTCTCCTTTCGGGACCAGCACCCGGAGCGGCTGACCCTGGGGCACTGTCCTCTCTGCAAGGACTTCTGTGTCTGGAGACAGATCCAGGACCCTTTCTGTCTCATGTCCCTCCACCGAATGCTGGGGATGGGCATGTGCGTGCTGTGCAGCCCGCTAGGCAAGCTGCACCTTCCTTCTCCTCACTGGACTGGACAGGATTGTTGCACTGACTTTGGGTGTCTCAGCTCTGCCCCTGGAGCTAGAAGACTAGGAAAGCCCAAGAGGCCATGCCCCTTTTTCTTTCCTGCTCCTAAAAACAGATGAAGGTGACTGGGTTAAAAGCTCAGACTTATGTGCCAGCAGGCAGGGCCCCAGGCACCACAAGTGCTAGGGCCTTCCTGGACTGGGAAGCCCCTGCTGCCCCTGCTGCCCCTGTGGGAAAGGAGCAAAGACCTCAAGGGACTCACACTCCAGGAAGCTTGCCTTCTCTCCTTCCTCCTTCTCCAATTTCATTACCTCCCACCTACCTTCCGCCCATCAATGTGAAAGTTGGACTCACAGCTGGTCTGTGCGCCCAGTTCCCCCAAAGCCTGTTCTGTTGGGCAGCCTGGTTTGGGGTTGCCTGAATATTGGTTCAGTTTTTTTTTTTTCTCTCCTTTGCCCTCGTACCCTTTTCTCCCATGCCTGTTGGTGTAGGTTCCGGGAGAGGGGCCAAACATATCCAAAGAACACACGCACCGTCTCTGGAGAGTTAGAGCCCAGGTTGGTCCCTCTGCTGTTGGAAGAGGAAGGAGTAAATGCTGATGAAGTCTGTTTTTGGGTCTTGTGGGTGAGGTCTGGCCTCTTGAGGACCTTACCGCGGAGCTAGAGTCAAGTCCTAGGAGGGAGGAGGTCCTGTTCTAGACTGTTGCCACGCAGAGGCTGGTGCCCCGTTCTTCTGATCCCTCCAGCTCTGCCAGGAATGTTTGCCAAAAACTGAGCCTTTCTTAGGTGGCACCAGGGCCCACCCAGGAAGAGGCAGATACCAAGGTTCTCTTTCTCCTGGCCACATTGCCGCGCCTCTTGGAATTCCCAGTGGCAGGCTGAGGGGTTGGCTTAAGTTTCTCAAGGTTTGATGCTTTCCTCTGGGCTCTCTCAGACCAAACCATCAACAGCAGGCTAATTTTCTTGCAAGACCTTGAAGGCCTCTGGGGACCCTTGTCTACAGTCATCCTTCCAAGGGACACCACCCCGACCCCAGTGTCCCATCCTTCCCCTCTCCTGGATTTAAAAGGATTGCTGGGCTGAAGTTGCCAAGGACTGACAGGCACTTTACATAGCAAAACAACTGTGAATTCTGACTCCCTCCCCTTCCACGAGCAGTAGGTGCCTGGGAAAATCCAGGACACACTGCTGCTGTTTCCCACTCTCCTCCATTGGGCCAGGCGGGACAGGAGCCTGGCCAGTGTGCCACATTTCATACCCATGCAGGCACGGGACGCAACTAGCACCCCCTCCAGGCTTGAAAGGCCTCCCTGCAGTGAAGGTGGGCGAGAGGGGAGGGGGCCTCAGCATGGGGGTACGTTCTAGAGGGGACGCTATGACGCTCTCAGTGTCCCCTGGGTGGGCGGGAGGGGTGTCCAGTGTTAAAGTCTTTGGCCTTGTGAGCAGTTCTAGGTAATAGAAATAAAAGTTCACTGAGGTTTGTTTTGTAGTCCTTGTTAATGGGATGTTTGTCCATTTCCTGAAGGTCAGAGTTCACCTCCTAGCATAAGCCAGAAGCTGTGGTTGCGTCATGGACTTGACCTCATGGCCCCTGCCCTGCCTGTGCCCGTGCACAGTAATTGCAAGCCTGAGGACTGCTGGTACTGCGAGTCAGCTGGGACGTGGCTGAGGCTCAGTGGTTGACTGGGCCTCTTGTGTGAGGCCCTGGGCTTGATCCCTGGCACCGCAAAACAAAGTCTGCCGTTGCTTGGGTGGCCAATCCCGCCACCCAGTTGGCATGTCGGGCACTGTGCACTAATAAATGACAATGTTTTCTGACTAAGGTGGCCCTGAGCTGGGTAGTGGGAGGCCACTTCTCTGAAGCTGCAACCATCTTGGAAGAGGTTTGCAATTGAGGGGAAACAATATTGCTGAGGCCATAGAGCCAGGATGCCAGTGGGACTTGCCTGACTGAGGCCTTGGCAACCTGCCTTCCTGCCTTTTTCCCTATTGAACATCCTTGCGACAGGAAGGATGTTTGACCACCTGAGGATTCTCCCCTCCCCACATTATGCTTCTTGTCTAGAACTGAAGAGGCAGGACTATCAAAAAGAGTGGCTCAGAGGTTGAGAGCACTTGGCTGCTCTTGGAGAGGACCTGAGTTCGATTCCCAGCACCATACACTGGCTATGACTCCAGGTCCAAGGATCTAAAACTCTCCTTTGTCCTACATGGCACCTGCGTACACATGCATATACATAAATAGAAATAGAATAATACTGTCTTTTAAGAAAGTTAAATGTGAGCCAGGCGGTGGTGGTGGTGCATGCCTTTAATCCCAGCACTCAGGAGGCAGAGCCAGGCAGATCTCTGTGATTTCGAGGCCAGCCTGGTCTACAGAGCGATATCCAGGGCAGGCACCAAAACTACACAGAAACCCTGTCTTGAAAAAAACCAAAAAAAGAAAAAAAGAAAGTTAAATGTGGCTGGGCATGGTAGCACACCCCAGCACTTGGGAGGCAGGTGAATCTCTGAGTCCCAGGATAGTCTGGTCAATAGAGTGAGTTCCAGGGCTACACAGAGAAACCACGTCTGGAAAAACAAAAAAGATAAATGTAGAGATGGCTCAGTGGGTAAGAACACTTGCGTAAGCTCAAGCATGAAGACCTGAATTCAAATCCCCAACACTGTAAAATGCCTGGATGGCCGTTCACCAGCCTGAAACCCTAGTCCTTGGGGGAAGCTGGAGTTGAGGGAGGCAGGAGGATCACTGCAGCTGCTGACAGCAATTTAGCTCCAGGTGGTGGCAAAAGGCTTTAATCCCAGCACTCAGGAGGCAGAGGCAGGCTGATCTTGAGTTAAAAGCCAGGCTGGTTTACAAAGTGAGTTCCAGGACAGCCAAGGCTACACAGAGAAACCCTGTCTGGAAAAAAGAGAGAGACTGAGAGAGAGACTAAATGTCTCAGGCTAGAGAAATGGATCAGTGGTTAAGAGCACTGGTTGTTCTTCCAGAAGGTCCCAAGTTCAACTCCCAGCACCTACACGGCAGCTCACAACTGTAATTCCAGTTCCAGGGGATCTGACACCCTCACACAGACATACATGCAGACAAAATAACAATGCACATAAAATAAGTATAAACAAATTATTAAAAAATGTTAATAAGCCGGGTGGTGGTGGTGCATGTCTTTAGTCCCAGCACTGGGAAGGCAGAGCCAGGTGGATCTCTGAGTTCGAGGCCAGCCTGGTCTACAGAGCGAGATCTAGGACAAGCACCAAAACTACACAGAGAAACCCTGTCTCGAAAAACAAAAAAATATGTTAATAAAAAATAGAGAGACAATGTCTCAAAATACCAGGACACGAGTGCATATTCCAGGCGCGCACACACACAAACACACAATTTTTTAAAAAATTAGAAGAAAAGAACTAGATGCATCTTCTAAGTTGTGCTTATTTATTTAAAGGTGTTGACTTTGATCAAGCTACTTGGTACCAGGAACTAGTAAACACATGAGGAAAAACACACAGTCACTAAGAATTCTGCTGGCTTCCCATTTACCCTGAACATTACTAGAAAGCTTCCCTTGAAAGATTTTTGAACCCTTTACCCCTGAGGTAACTGTGCAAGCTAGGCCTCAAACTTTCCATAATCTTCCTGCCTCTGCTACTTGGGTGAGTGTGTAACAACATGTAAGGCTTTATTCCAGAGTTCTTTGTATTGTATTGCTTTTGTTCCCAGACTGGCTGTTTATTTTTGTTTTGTTTTGTTTTCTAAGACAGGGTTCTTCTGTGTAGCCCTGGCTGTCCTGGATCTCACTCTGTAGACCAGGCTAGCTTCGAACTTGCAGAGATCTGCCTGCCTCAGCCTCCCCAGTACTGGGATTAAAAATGTGTGCCACCACTGCCGGGCGGTGGTGGCGCACGCCTTTAATCCCAGCACTCGGGAGGCAGAGGCAGGCGGATCTCTGTGAGTTCGAGGCCAGCCTGGTCTACAGCGCAAGATCCAGGAAAGGCGCAAAGCTACACAGAGAAACCCTGTCTCGAAAAACCAAAAAAAAAAAAAAAAAAAAAAATGTGTGCCACCACTGCCCAGCTGTTTTTTTTTTTTTTTAAATAAAATTGTGTGTGGAGGTCAGAGGACAATTGAAAAGAGTCACTGCTCTACTTCCATCCCTTGGGACCTGGGGATCAAACAGGTTTGGCAAGAGGCATCTTTATACACAGACATTTCACCAGCTCTTGATCTAAATATGTTTTTCTTTATTTTTAAGCCAAGGGTCTCACTATGTAGCTCTGGCTGTCCTCTTTATGTATTCCAGGCTGGCCTCAAACTCACAGAGATCCACCTATCTCTGCCTCCGGAGACTGGGATCAAAGGTGTTTGCCATCATGCTGGGCCTTCAACTTGGATTTTTTTTAAGCATATGTTTTGCTGTGTTTTTGTTTGCTTGTTTGTTTTTTGTTCTTTGAGATAGGGTTTCTTTGTAACTTTGGATTCTGTCTTGGAACTCCCTCTATAAACCAGGCTGGCCTCGAACTCACAGAGATCCGCCTGTCTCTGCCTCTCGAGTGCTGCAATTAAAGGCGTGTGCCACCACTGCCTGGCTTAAAGCATGTTTTGTTCAATTAGTACATGGAACTGAAAACTCTCAAGACTCTCTGCTCCAGCTTGTGTGTGATGAGTTTGTTTTAAACCTCTACAGCTAACAATTCTGGATCTGAGCACAACTGCCCTGCTTGGAGTTTGTGAAAGGCAGCTATGACTAGATTTTTCCTTTTCCTTTTCCTTCTTTCTCTTTGTTTTTTTTTTTTTTTTTTTTTTTTTTTTTTTTTTTTTTTTGGACAGTTACTCTGTGTGTGTGTGTGTCTCATTAGCCCATGGAGGCATGGAGGCCTTGAACTGGCTTTGTAGCTAAACATGGCCTTGAACTCCTGGCTGCTCTGTCCACAGCCAGGTGCTAGTTATTATTTGTTTGACTTCTGCAGCTTTGTTTACACACTGCAGCACTGTATCCTTTGGCTTGCCTGGAAGGAGCAGAGGGAATCCCCTGCAGCTTTGAGATAGTCACCAGAGTCCTAGAGCAGGTAGATAGGAGAAGTGCTGGACAAATTCACACCTTAGGATCCTCCGGCTGGATATGTTTGTTACATCTGTAACCGCTGCTCTGGTGTTTGCTCACTCAACAGAGGCTGATCACCTAATAGGTAAGGAGCCCTATAGATACAGGAGTGAATCCTGGGATGAAGTTCCCGATCCCTTGGGAGTAACTGTCAAGTGGAGGAGCCTGGTGTAAGATTGTTACTCAACTAATGATTTATATTGCAATTGTGATTGGCACCTCAATGGAGAAATGTGAGGTCCTACAAAGCAACTTCCAACTCAAAAGCAGAAAGTTCTCCTTCAAGATAGATTAGACAGTTGCAGCAGCTACAGCACATTCAAGAGCACTTTCCCAATCCACTGAAGTACCTTCTGGAAGCCAAGGTCTCTACAGGGCAGTTGGAGAACTTCACTACATTGTCCTAACATTCCACATAGACTGTGGTTCCCACTCCTTTCCTTGCTCCTCACTCCATTAAGAGTGTTGGTTTTGCCAGGTGGTAGTGGCACATGCCTTTAATCCAAGCACTTGGGAGGCAGAAGCAGGAGGATCTCTATGAGTTCCAGGCCAGCCTGGTCCACAGAGTGAGTTCCAGGACAAGCCAGGTCTACACAGTGAGACCAAAAAAAAAAAAAGTGTTGGTTGCTGAATGTTTTAGCTAAGCCCCTCTCTCGGAGCTGCACTGGGTTGAAAAGAACACCGTGGGTGATGGTTATGTCCCCTCTAGGTGATGGCAGTCAACTTCCAATGAGTACTTGATGGAAGAGGAGAGTACTAAGGTCTGCCAAGTGTAAGCATTGCAGCTCGGATGAAAAGAGATTCTGGCATTCGGGAACCAAGGAATACCAACTGTACAGCTCAGATGGAAAAGTATTCTGGCAATTGGGAGCCTAGGAATACAACAGGTCACAGTAAGCATAGCAGGTACAGCCTTGCTCCAGGGAAAGGTTTCCCCAATGTACCAGCTCTGATCCAGCAGGGGAGGATTTCCCTAGCAAAACTGTTACAGTTCTACTCAGGGCCCCCAGAGTGTAACAACTCTGCTCCGGTAGGGGAAGGTTTCCTCAGCAAAGGTGTTACAGCCTTGCTCTGCTTGGCCCAGGCTCCATCTCTGCGAAAGAAGGTCTCACCCAAACCTCATTCAAGAGCTTTATTGGGAGGGAAGAATCCAGGAGGGTGGCTGCCTCTGCCAGGGTGGAAAATGGGAGCAGCAAACTGAACAGACAGAAGGACTTCTTAGAGGCGTAGTTTTTCCAGGGAGAAGATTTTAAGGGTGAGAATTAGTCAGATTTCAGTCC